CCGATTATTGTGGCATACAGACGGTACGGGAGAATATCGAAGGGTTCACTGATAAACAAGTTGAGCGGGCTAATCGCGCACGATCAGTGTATCATATGGCTGGTGCACCAGGAGTTCAAGCGTTTCGTATTGCAGTAAGATCTGGTCTGTTCAAGAACTGCAACGTGAATGAAGAAGATGCAATCATTGCCAAAAAAATATATGGACCTGGTTCTTTGGTCCTAAAAGGAAAGACAAAGCGTCCCACACCTGAAGGAGTGCGGGATGACTGGATAGAAATACCAAAGGAGTTATTAATGCACAACCTGAATGTTGTGCTGCACATTGATCTCGTTTTTGTTAACAATTCATTCGGACTCACGACCATTGATGGGAGTGTGAGATACTGGTGTTATATACCCTTGGCTTCACGATCCAAAACGGCATTGTATGACGCAATTGATAAATGCTTTCGAATATATAATGCACGTGATTTCACAGTGGAAAAGATTTACTGCAATGGGGAGTTCCGTCCGGTATTTGAACCCGTGAAAGACAAACTTGAAGTTCATATGAATTACGCCAGCAGAGGCAAAAGTGGAACAAAACAATCAGCATTTAAAGGCACTGTTTCGGGTTCACTTTCACCGAATGCCATTCAAGGCGATTCCAAAGAAGTTGACTGTGGCACTTATGGCACGAGTCGCTAAAGTATCCAACTACTATCCGGCGAAAGGTGGGTTGTCTGCATACTACAGCCCGCATATGATCATGCATCAACGAATGGTTGATGCCTCCAACGAATTTGTCGCTGAGATTGGTGCATATGTCCACAGATATGGTCATGACACCGAGAATAATATGGCTGTTCCAACGATTGAAGGTGTTTACATGGGACCCACCGCTGACATTCAAGAAGGGCACCGTATCTATGATCTGAACACAATGTGCGAAGCACGACGTGCCAAAATCAAGGTTCTTCCGATGACTGACCAAGTCATCAAGATTATCGAAGAAGACGCAAGATTGGAAGGAGTGACGGAATTGCGCACCTATTCCAAGCGTAATGGCGAGCTAAT